TTGATGTCTCTGTCATGGTGTGCACGTAACTCTCAGTGGCTATTCCGTCTCATTCTCCTTCGAACATAACACACCATATGGTCATATTAAAAAAAACCAGTTGAGATGAAAATTAGCAAATTACGACGGTAAACTATGTAACACATATTTTTATTATTATTGTTATTTTAGAAATAGATATTAATAAAAGGTCCAAACATGTGTGTTTGGGAGGCTATGATTATTGATTTAGCCGTATTTAAATACAGATTACATTGTCCACTCTTTTAACTACAGCATTTTCTGATTGGCGATCTGAATATCATGTGTATATCCGAGCTCGGCATGCGACTCACTCGCGTCGGCAATATTTAGTCATGAATAAGACCTGCGTGCTAGCGTAGCGTGTAACCTTGCACCTGTCAGTGTTTGATTATCTTCCGCTGAGACTACTACTGAGCCAGGAGCGGTCCCCAACATCGTGGGTTCTACTACCCGTGTACGCTTGTAGTTGTCGAGGTTTCATATACATACTAGTGTATCTGCCGCGGTATTAAGTTATACTGTCAAGTGGCCACTTGCTGTCAGCGTCGTCGCTTCTACTTGTAAACTGAAGTCCATCGTCAATACCCAAACACAACATTAAAAAAGCAGGTATGCTCCTATGTTAAGGCATAGCCTCCCAAGAAAGACAAGGAGGCTATGGTTATGTATTAGAGGTAGTATGAGCTCAGAGGCTATGGTTATGGATTAGAGGTAGTATGTGCTCAGAGGCTATGGTTATGGATTAGTGGTAGTAAGAGCTCAGAGGCTATGGTTATGGACTAGAGGTGGTATGAGCTCAGAGGCTATGGCTATGGATTAGAGGTATTATGAGCTCAGAGGCTATGGTTATGGATTAGAGGTAGTATGAGCTCAGAGGCTATAGTTATGGATTAGAGGTAGTATGAGCTCAGAGGCCATGGTTATGGCGGAGAGGTAGTATGAGCTCATGGTAACGTGCAGAAACGCGCGACAGATTGGCTCATAGGCAACCCGGGTGTGTGTAAAGCGGTCAATATTGCCAATGCAGATACTGAACCAGTCTCGTCTACTGGCTCAACCTAACATCCAGTTGTGTGCTGCTGTCTGTCTTGGTAGTCTGACACACAAGTTAAGTACCGAACTTCTCCTCTACCGCATCACTCAAGAGTTCAGGCCAGATAGCTATCCCCCGTATATGCGTTAGGAATGAAAGCACTCCCTAAGTTTTGCACGTGTGGTTATAATCTATATTTTATTGACATCCAGACTAGCAGATACGTTCTAGAGTTGGCGCACGTGTGTGGTTATAATCTATATTTTATTGACATCCAGACTATTACAGATACGTTTTAGTACATCGAAGAGTTGTTATTGCTGTTGCGCGGCTTCTTAATCTTCTCGATATTCTTAGTGATCATATCGTGAAGGATGAAGTAGTTATTGCGCAGATCCTGTTGAGCAAGGCAGGGTAAACGTTTACTATAAGTGGTAGACGAAGCAGTATGAGTGTGTACTATATGAATTGGGCGCAGCAGAATAAACGTACTGTAATAAGTAAATGGAGCAGAAAAAAGTACTATAGGAAGCCAACGGAGAAGAAAAACGTACTATAAAAAGTGGACGAGGCAGAATGAATGTTTACTATTTGAAGAGGGCGCAGCAGAATAAACGTACTATAAGAAATGGACAAAGCAGCATAAACGTTTACTCTGAGCGTGGAGCGATCCCTAAGCTCGTACCTTCATAACACAGGGCATTGCTAGTTGTTTGGTTGTGCGAAGTAGCGTGAGCTGTTTGCACTCTGGTTTCATGTCCACATGATTCGGATACACTGGCTATGCAATAGACATCTTCTACAAGACATAAGCAAGCACTGGCAAGGGAAAACGATGGACAGCGACCTGGGAACGAAGTGTCGAGTGGCTATATATCATCCACACACAAACACACACATATAATATATATATATATATATATATATATAAATATCCTATTCTCGTGCAAATGCACTTACATCACATCAATAGAACCTTATACGATGATGTATCAACACGTTCAACCAGCAGCAAACACAAAAATATACCAACACACCAAACTAACTAACGCTTACACACACCCGCACGCACCTGTGAGCACAGTCTGAGGTTGATGTATTCCTTCTCATCCAATTCGTTGACGCTCAGTCGGTAGTCCTTGATGGACGGGTACTTGAGCACCTTTGAGGCTAACTTGGCCCGCATGACAAAGTACTTGGTTATGCTCTCCAGCACGGTGAACCCGCTGTCTTCTGCCCGCGACAACTCGTTGACTGTCTCCTCCTATTGATAAACGCGTTGCGCAGGACGATGTTTGGTTTGTTTAGTATCGAAAACTGGATATGTAGGAGAAACGGATCTATTGATACAGTTAACGGCCAAATGAACGATCGATGAGCTCAGCGAACCAGAGACTCTTCTAGAGTGCTCATGGATTGCCCTCAAAATCCGCAATTTGTGTGCAGATATACATACATACATACATATATATATATATAATCGGATGCGTATACGTCTATGCAATTTAACATCAGTATTTTAATTACTAGGATAGTACGATGGTCAACATATTGATAGCAATGATCTTAGAATATAAATATAAACATATGCGTGCAGAAAACTAATGTATGTATATTTTGGACAGCCACAAAAAACAACCACAGACAATGTACATTTATATATATAATTGTATACATGTATATATAATTAGATAGATATAGATTTTTATATATATATATATATATAAATAATATACTATATATATGTATATATAAATAATATACTATACATATATATATATATGCATATAT